TTGCACTCGGTCAGAAGACCATTCTTGATTGATTCCTAGTATATACAATTAGTCGCTAAGTCTGATGAGAGCGTGGCAAGGGAATCTCTCGCTCTTGTCTTGTTGGATCGCGGTTTAGTGATACACTACGAATAAACTGATCACGATGGACCTCCTTCATATACCTGCCTTAACCTACCTTCTTCATCAACCTGCATCAGCCCACCTCTTCCCTTCCATCCTGGCATGTCATAACCATGGTGTTTGGCGCAGCCGCCAACACTTTTGTAGATGAGTCGATTGGCTGAGAAAGCTGCATGCCAGGATGGCGAAACAAGGCGACGGCGGCGTTGAGAGCGACAAACCAACCACAGCTCTAGGATCAGAAGCCGGCAGCTAGGGTGGGATCGCTTTAAGCCTGGGTGGGAGCCCGTGTCAGCACCCTCGCCCCCCTGGCATACTTGCATAGGGCTTAGCTCGAAGCGAGGCTAGAAGCCTTGATATCAAAACAAACGCTACCCGAAGTGAACCCTCTGGTTGCCTTTTTGGGATATCCTTCATTGCAGCATCAAAGCTGTATAACACATATCCAGGGTCCCCATATTGTAGGTTGCCGTGCTATTTCCATAATGTGTGCTAAGTATCTTGGCGTAGCAAAGGCTGACAGACAACTTTCTTCCCCTGCCTTCAACTCCCTCTCTTCCTATGAATATCCTCCTACTTCCTCTTCCTTCCTCTACCTCTGTCTAACTTCCTCACTTTTCCTTCCTCTAACTTGCTCTTCCTTTCTCTATCTTTCCTCGTCGACGACGACGAAAGGCGATGACGTGGATATTCTCCCCCTAGCTTTTCGACATCCTAGTTCTTAGACGACTTGTCACTGGGAATAGCTTAACTCCCACGGACAATCACCACTTTAGACTTAGAGGACGTAGCCAACAAGCCGCTGCTCCTGTCCTTATTTCCACCTGTTGTGGTATCGGCAGTGGTAGTAGGATAGCTTCCCTGTTTTTTTGACGAGAGCCGTCAACGGTTTCCCTGTTCAGGTGATCGGGAGTTAGGACTTACTTGCAATTCCTTCTTTGAGCCACTACCCTCGCCGTGAGCATGACGAGGGCTGTGGATCAGGGCCTTGGGGAGAGTGTCCATTCTTGCTCCTTATCTAACAATGTACCTCACCCGAAAAGACTTCTTCGTACTTCATCCAACATGGAGTGATAGGTGAAGAGAGCTTCTTCACGGATTGTGTTCCAAGATAAAAGTTCAGGGCATCCCCCGATTTTCGGTTGCCTTATTCTCGCATTCACATCCTATCTTTGTATCATCAGACTTGGACATGCCAGTTGTCAAATCTTCAAGACCCTCATAGGAACGGACATCGCACCACTCCACGCACATTCGTTCTCCTCTTCCGACTTTTGGACTCGAACTCAATCCGGATCACGTACGTATAGTCGAGAAATTCTTTGACATTTTGGAAACGAAGCCATATACACAACATCCAAGTGACCTGAATCTAGCACCAGCCTTAATGGATCCAACTCGGGAGTACGTCTCTGGCAAACCGGACCACGGAGGTGGTCACTGGCCGGCACAAGCAACATCCAAAAGGCCCATCCATGCTCCTCCGGTCCCGCAGACATTCGTCTCCGTGCCGGTCACCTCGATCAGATGGGCTGGTTCCCAACCGGTTTTTGTAACCGCTCTTGAATCACCCGTGGCTGACATGGAGCACATGAACGGAAACAACGTCCTTCTGGGAAGAGTCGGGATGACTCAATATTCCCAACAGCAATACGGTTGGGTCCAACATCTCCATGGTTTGATCGCGGGTATCACTCCTGCAACACTTCCCGGACAAGCCGGATTCATGTACGACGCATTCGGAATGAGCAGAGGTCTGCCGGCTCAAACCCAAGGCCACGTCCACGTCCACGCCTACGCCGAGGGTTCCAAGGCCAACGCTGGCCATGTTTATACGTTCATCTAAACCAGGGGTATACTAACCCCGTTTACCTGTTTCATCCGCAATCCGAAAAGGACTTTCTGGCTCAATACTACGCCAGGCTCTCCTTAGCGGACACGGGTGCAGACAAAAAATCTCCCATTCCTGTAACGGCCCCTTCCACTGTCACGGTTACACCTGAAGCGCCAGCCCAGCAATCCCAGATTTTCACAGAGACCACGGGCACGGGAGCCACAGGCCTCACCATCACCACGGTCACGGGCATCGCAAGCACATCCACGCGCACCATAACCGGACCGGACGGAACCGTCATCGTCCCACCTCCCATCCCCGCCCACCCCGGCTGTGAACTCTCCCTGCACTTGGGGGAGGCCCTGTTATTAGAGCGCAATACCCGCGGTACGGGTATACTGGCACCATCCTAGGTCGCGGTCGTACAAGCTCCTCTTCCGGTAGCTGAACCTTGGACTTCAATGAAAGCATTTCTTTGGCAGTATGGACAGCTGCTTTTGTCTTACTGTCAGTGCGATCGCCGCTTGGCGTCGGTTCCATGCACCTACAGGTCCTAAAGGAAATGACAAGTGAGGCATCAATGCATTGTCCGCTCAAAGACACTGGTTATCGCAACGGCTTGGTTGTTGACAGCACTGGCAGCCTAGGCTCTACTGTAATTTGCAGGTTCCTCCCGGATTTACAGCCCTACCCGCGCCACGGCCCTATAAGTGGTGCACGCTACCAGGCCGCTGCGGGTACAGTATTGCCAACCCTGTAGACCCCGTGACAGAAAGTCACGACCCTCGCCCAAGTCGAGTTATTGATTGGCGCCCTGAAGTCTCTAGGTCCAGAATGCCCGGCCTCTAGAAAAGAAATGTCCTTTGGGTGATTGGCCTGTGATTGGGAGGGAGCCGCCAGCCATCTCGCACTTGGTGACAACACAGAGAGTCTCATGTTCCATCATAGCCTCGAGAAGACATAGGGCTCTGGTTTGTTTTCCTTATTGTGTCCTTAGTGGCAGGATAGAGAAATTCCCGGCACTTCCATAAACTCAATCCATTGATCATCAACCATAGCATCCACTATCTCCAAGACAACACGATCATCCTCGAGTGCCTCATCTACCTCAGTTAAGACGTTCCTTCCCCAACGCTACAATGATTCGACGACTGCACTCGCGGTTCCAGACGCGTCTCAAGCAACACGGAAATGCGCAGGATCGGGAAGGTTCTACGGACCAAGAACAGTCTCGCCTTGCACCTCTGCAACAAATCTTCGCCGCCACCTCTACATCCGCGTCCCGGCTCCCAGCCGCTTCGGCTACCGGCTCCGCTGACATAGAGACGTCCGCCGGCGCGGATAATACCACTACCTGCCTCCCAGCCGCTCCAGCTACTAGTGCCGCCAACATAAAGACGCCCACCAATGCAGATGACATTACTACCAGCTTATCCGTACGACTCTGGGACCGTGCCTACAATGACCTCAAACAAGAAGAGGCCAGATTGGTGGACGCATACGAGAAGATACTGTCCCGACAGCTGCAGGCTAGCCCCGACTTAACAGTGCCCGAATCCCAACCGAACATCATTGCCCAAAACAACTCGGACAGGCGCCGTCAAATGAATCAGCTTATCATTGCTGGCCTAGCTAAGACTGAGAAGGAAGCTAAGGTGAAAGAAAGCCTTGGTGTAGCCATGGATATTGTTCTATCCGCAAAGAACATTATAAGTGCGGCAATCCAGGCCGTGCCCCAAGCCGCGCTCGCCTGGACTGGCGTTTGTATTGCTTTAGAGGTACGTCTATTTAGAGTGCGATACTTCACATACTAACTTCTAGAGATGTTTACCAATCCTGTAACCGCAACCGAAGCCAACCGCAAAGGGATCGACTACGTTGTTAAGAGAATGAACTGGTACTGGAACCTGTCGAATATCCTTCTCAAGGACCCTACCGCCCATATCGGCGAACTTTCTGGAGTGAGAGGCGAATTGGAGATCCAAATTATTGACCTCTATAAAGTGCTCCTCTCCTATCAGATGAAGAGTGTCTGTGTTTGCTATCGCAACCGCGGTCTAGCCCTTCTCCGGGATATAGTCAAGCTTGACGACTGGAATGCTGACTTGGGGGTTATCCAAGACGCCGAAAAGTGCTTCCGAGACGACACCCAGACATACACTGCTCAGCAAGTGACGTCTCATCTTAACCAGCTCGTTATACAGCACATGTCAGAGAAGGACCAGCAATGCCTGAAGCACTTGCGCCTTACCGATCCTCGCGATGATAAAGTCCGCATCGAACGGACTAAAGGCGGCCTTTTGCAGGACTCGTATCGTTGGGTCCTCAATAACGCTAACTTTCAACAATGGCGTAACAGCCCACAGCATCGACTGCTCTAGATCAAGGGCGACCCTGGCAAAGGGAAGACTATGTTGTTG